TCATTCAAAATAAAGACTGAGGGCATCTCAATTCATCATTTCACATGTTATTTCATTTTCCAATAAAGTCACCATCACCAGTGAGATGGATGACCCTCAATTTCTATGCAATAAAATATTATGTTTTCAGTTACCTACCTATGTGGTAATATCAAGCTTAAAATAATCTATTTATCTCCTTAAAGGGACAAAGGGCCAACAACACATTTTTCCCTTATTAAATGGACAAGAAGCCGACTACTCCTTCTATACAGAAGGGTGAGATAATTAAAACTTCCTTCATTTATTAAAGAGACGAGACGACTACCTCCCGTATTATAAGGGATGATAATGAGTGTCATGTATTAAAAGGATCTGGGCTGAATAAATCCTGTAATCAATATCCCCGTACTAGAAGGGATAGTAAATAAGTGTCATGTATTACAAGGACCCGGGCTTAGTGAATTCCGTAATAAATAACCCCCGTACTATAAGGGATAGTAAATAAGTGTCCTGTATTACAAGGACCCGGGTTGAGTGAATCCCGTAATCCATATCCCCGTACTATAAGGGATAATAAATGAGTGTCTTGTATTACAAGGACCAGGACTGAGTGAATCCGGTAATCAATATCACCTTACTATAAAGGGATAAATATCCTGTACTAAAAGGGCCTAAGTTGAATGAATCCCGTAATCACTATCCCCTTATTATAAGGTATAGTAAATAAAAATCCCTTACTAAAGGGACGAGTTGAGTAAAGCTCGTAAAATTTAATTCCCTTATCAAAGAAGTGGTAACCTGAGTGAAGTTCGTACATTTTATTCCCTTATCAAGGGAAGATTACCCAAGGGTACTAAAACTGGTACTCAAAGGAAGGTTACCAAATGGTACCAAAAATAGTACCCAAGGGAAGAGTACCTAAAGATACTAAAAATAATACCCAAGGGAGGATTACCCAATGGTACCAAAAATAGTACCCAAGGGAAGGTTACCCAAGGGTACCAAAAATAATATCCAAGGGAAGAGTATTCAAGGATACTAAAATTAGTACCCAAGTGAAGATTACCCAAGGGAAGAGTGCCCAAAGAAACATTACCGGATGACAGAGTACCTAAGGGAAGATTACCCAAGGGAAGAGTATCCAAAGGAAAAAAGAAAAAAAAAAAAAAGAAAAAAAAAGTTATTGTTCATGTGAACAGTACCGGGGGAATAGTACCCGCGGGTACTGTTCCCAGGGCAAGGAAAAAAAAAAAAAAAAAAATCTACTGTTCAATGAACAGTACTCGCGACACTATTCCCTCGAACAGTGCCGAGGGCAAAAAAAAAAAATTACATTCCCAAAGCTAGACGAACAAGCTTGGGAATGGGGGGCAACTGATAGGGAAAAATAAACCTAACCTATTTTGACCTAACGATAGAGGCAACTAAGTGTTGACCTGATGTCAAATCTCTTCTACTTTCGAAAGATAATATATCGTTATCAAGGATAACGATTTCCATTGGATAAATTTCATGAGATAATAGGATAAGATTTCCATGGGATAAGTTCCATGGGATAATGATTATGATATTCCCTTATCAAGAATAAGGGAAGTGACGATAAATAGGAAGACGACTCGGGAATAAGATACGACGAAAGAACTATTATTAAATTCCTGCCTTCTTTTTAGATCTCCGGTGACTAACTTAATCGTCAGAGAGCTCTTGGCAGGCACCACACTGGTGCCATCAAGGTTCATCGATCTTCTCCTCTATTCCTTGCAGGAAAACGGTATCGTATCGGACCGCGTGGATTTCACCCTCAACAATCATTAACTAATATATTTTTATAATTCATTATAAGTTAACAATCATAAGCCCGATCGTTTAATTCGTGATCCGATTCGTGAGTTATAGATTAAATTCTTTTAAATCTGCCACCGGGTACAAAAATCCTGTCCGACAGATCAAATTAGTAGATTTATGAATTATTTGCATACCGCTAACTATGTAATCATCAATCAAGCTCAAAAAAATAAGGAAAATGTTCATTTTCTAGACATTTTTGCACCATCGAGAAGTCATCCAATTCTAGCAAAAGTCTCTAACCTTAACACTAATCATACTCAATTTCTTTCTAAATCCTTAGTAACTGATCTTTACTAAGTATTAAGCGGAAAATGTAAGCAATCATCTCCCAACAAAAATTCGGTAAAAGTACAACTTTATTTTTTTCTTTCCCTTTCCCCTTTATTCTTATTATTTGTCTTTCTTTTTTTCATTGAAACTATTCTTATTCTTTGTTTTTTTGATTGATTTTTTATCGGTATAAAGGAGTAACTAATAAGTATTCTTATTCTTTGTTGACTTGTGATTACAAAGTGCTATATAGTAATTTGTCTTTGTTGATTTGTAAATCTAGACACCAATTGTAAATAGACGTAAAAGTAAAACATATAATAAAAAATTAATTTTCTCTTTTCAATTGTATTTTCTTATTCAATACGAATTCTATTAATATAATTTTGAATTTAATTGGTAACTTCTTTTATTATTTGGTAAATTATTTTATTAAACAGTTATCTATTTTATCTATTTTATTTTAATTGGTAACTTGTTTTATCTTTGAAGAATTTGGAGTATAATATGATTTATTTTAATTGACAACTTATTTTATTATTTGGTATATTATTTTATTTAAAAGTCTCTGAGAAAATAAAAATATAAACTAAAGAAAAAAAACATAATTCTAATGAACTTACCCGATGAAGCAAAATTGCCGCCTTCTGAGTGAAGAATCTGAACACCAATTACAAAGAGAAAAAGAGTTGATATAGTAGAAGTAAAATATAAAATAAAAAATAATTAAAATACTTTCATGATACCTTTGAAATAATAAAAAATAAATCACTATGCAAACTAAATTACAAGAAAATGGGCAAATATAGTAGACGTAAAAGTAAAACATATAATAAAAAATAAATTTCTTCTTTCCAATTGTATTTCCTTATTCAATACAAATTTTACGAATAGAAATTTAAATTTAATTGGCAACTTGTTTTATTATTTGATAAATTATTTTATTAAATAATTGCCTATTTTATTTTAATTGGTAATTTGTTTTATTGGTAAATTATTTTATTAAACAATTACCTATATTATTTTATTTAAAATTTATTAAACAATTAAGTATTTCATCTATTTTATTTTAATTGGTAATTTGTTTTATTATTTATTTATTTTTAATGATGAATTGAAATTCTTGACATCCCATTGTACTTTTAATAATAGTATAAATATAGATTTAATTAATGATGATTTGAATTTCTTGACATCCCCTTATACTTTTAATAATAGTATAGTATAGATAGATAGATATGGATATGTATTTTATTTTAATTGATAACTTTTTTTATTATTTATTTATTTTTAATAATGATTTGAAATTCTTGACATCCCCAAATTTTAAACAACAATTACAAAGAGAAAAGAGGTTAATATAATAGACATAAAGGTAAAACATATAATAAAAAACCAAAATTTTCTTCGCAACTGTATTTCCTTATTCGGTACGAATTCTACGAATAGAATTTTGAATTTAATTGGTAACTTGTTTTATTATTTGATAAATTATTTTATTAAATAATTATCTATTTTATTTTAATTGGTAACTTGTTTTATTAAACAATTACCTATATTATATTATTTAAAAGTTTTTTTTTTTTTTTTTTTTTTTTTTGTTTGTTTGTTTGTTTGTTAATATAATGGTTTACTTTACAATAAGGTAAAGATTAATTTTCAAATAAACAATTACCTATTTTATTTTAATTGGTAGCTTTTTTATTATTTGGTAAATTATTTTATCTATTTTATTTTAATTGGTAACTTGTTTTATTGATAAATTACTTTATTGTTTGTTAATATAATGGTTTAGTTTACAATAAGGTAAAGATTAATTTTTAAATAAACAATTACCTATTTTATTTTAATTTGTAACTTGTTTTATTAATTGGTAAATTATTTTATTAAACAAATACCTACTTTATCTATTTTATTTTAATTGATAATTTTTTTAATAATTTATTTATTTTTAATGATAATTTGGAAATTTTGACAATCCCTTGTACTTTTAACATTTTTAATGATTAACGGCAATTATGATTTGAAAATTTTGACATCCCCTTATACTTTAATATATAAATATCACGGATCGAATTGGGTTGTGATTGGATCCGTAAGTGATAGATTAAACTTTTTTTGAATCTGTCGCTGATATGTGGACAGATTCACTAAATTATTTATCCAATCCTATTTAATATGCAATTAAGACAATAAACATAAATTAATCATATCTGTAGCGATCAATCAAGCTAAAAAATTAATGACATAAAAAAAATTTTGAAGCTCAAAAATTAAGAAAAATATTCGTTTTCTAGACATTTTTGCACCATCAAGAAGCCATCCAATTCTAGCAAAAGCCTATAATCTTTGGAAAAATTATAGTACAACTGTATTTTTTTTCTTTCCCTTTTCCCTTTATTCTTATTCTTTGTCTTGTTTCATTAGAATTATTCTTATTCTTCGATTAAGTATTCGTATTATTTGTTGACTTGTGAATACAAAGTACTTTCTCCTCTATTGTGTTGGTGTTCGATTACTTTTCGATATTATATTATGCAAAACAAAATATAATAAAAATGGTATTATATTATGCAAAACAAAATATAATAAATGCATCTTTTTTCAATAGTACTGTGTGTTTGCTTGAATTTAACCAAAAAAAAAAAAAATTGAAATGCATTTGTTTGTTTAAATAAATTGAAGTGTCAAATGTCATTTTAAATTTTTATAAAATAAATAAATAAATAAAATACAAAATGAGAAATGAAAGTCAATGCAGTTTTGTGGACGTGGCGTAGAAGTCAGTGAAATTTTTTGTAACGTGGCGTGATATGATTGGAAGTTGCCTGATTTGATTCTAACGCTTTGACCATCTTTGTCGTGTGGCGGCGAAACCCTAAAACCCACTTTTTTGCCGTTTTCAGTGAAGAGTTGGAAACACCATGACATCGTAACTCCTCTGCGTGTTGTTCACTGACCCACCCATGCAATAAAATGACTAAAATGCCCTCGCGAATTGAATCCCTCAAACCTTCACTGATTCAACAAAGCCAGAAATACCAGTGGCAATTCAGATAATTCGTACTCGACGGCTCTTTCAGAAAGATTGTAATTTAGAACTACAAGAAACCCCACAAGCCAAAGTCTTATATAGTATTTAAATACATATATATATATGTATGTATGTATGTACACATATCTATGATACGGTGTCTGTTCACAAGCCGTCCTCAATTGAGAACAACCCGAGAAATTCACATTTTCAGGTGAATTTTTTTCCAGAGTATGTGTTTATGCGTGTGTGTTTATATGTGTGATTTTGAGGTTCTGTGATTCGAATCGTAGGTTGAGAAGCTCAGAGAAGTCGGTAATGGCGCCTCCGCCGATACTTTCCTTAGCTCTGCCATCAGAAACGGGTCGAGTTCTCAGTATTCAGTCTCACACTGTTCAGGTGTGGTTTCTTGCTTACACATAATTTTGTATTTTGAGAAAATTGAACAATTTTTGGGTTTAATTGCTTGTACATTAATTCTGATTTATATAATTTCGGTGTTTATTTACATGTATCATTCATGGTTTATATAACTCTGATTTGGTTAGATAAATAATCACATGCGCACATACTAATAAATCTTAATTCGACAAACGGAAATTAGCCCAAATGGTATGATGTCTTCTCCCCAACGGGGAGTTTTAAGTGTTCGAAATACATTGTGGGTGTGTGACCATTCGGGAAAAATAAAAATAAAACTTAATTCAAGGAGGTAGCTGGTTTGAACTTCAAAGTATGTGAAGTTTCAAACATGGGGCATAATGAGAAAGGAAAAGCACACCTATATGGGTTTTGAAAAATGACGTGAAATTTGTTTCACAACATTTTTTTAACTTGGTGATGAGTGCACTAATTTGATCTTATAGTAACTTGAGGATTATAACACTGATTGAGTTGGGGGGAAAAGGAGGAGTTTGTGCTGCATTGGGTGATCTTATGCAATCACTTTATTACGAATCAAATGGGCTTATATTACCTTTTGTCAGAATTAATATTTTTGACAATTCTTATCATGCAAGTGGTATGTTGTTTTGTGTCAAGCAATGAATAGCTTTTGTGTTTTTGTATGGTGTTGTGGTGCATTTTTAATGTAGATATTGAACCTGAAACATTGGCGGCTTTCAGTTTTTACTGGATGTGTCCCAATCTCATCATTGCAGATGCGACATGCCTTTCTTGGTTACACTGTCAAATGAAATTCCCTGGGTGCTTGAGTAGTGAGCACTTGGAAGATGTATTTTCTAGGACAATGGCATGCGCGGGTGGCATTGTCAATTTCCCTGTTTAGGGATTGAGGCTGCTACAGTTCTTTTTTTGTGTGTATATTCTGTGGAGATATTCTAAATCAATGTTATCTTATTAAATGTGATCATGTATTTATGAAACTAAAGGGGTGAATATCTCCTCACCTTGTCATATTTTGGTGAGTTGTCTGGTTGGTTCATGACTATTGGAGAGTTTGTGCAATTCGTTTTTTTTTTTTTTTTTTTTTTGCTGGACAATTCTGTGTTGCCATCTTGCAGATTATGAATGTGATTGAATTGTAAATTTAGGTGAATATGATTGGCGCCAACCTCAATTATCCAGGTTGTATGGTTATGAAATGCATCCAAATCTGGCTACTTTGTATCCTGGAGTAACTTCCTCTGCTGTTCAGACTTCGGAGGAAGTGAGAGAAAAATATAGTAGGAGAATTATGAACTTATGTACAATTTGGCTCCTCAATGAAGGTATATGCATGGTCGGTCAGTGGTTGGGATGAGGACTGCTGCCATTATATCTCCAAGACTAAATTATTGAGCACACGTTTAGAACTATCCTTGTAGTGCTACTATTACATAAGCATAACTGGAAGTAGAATGTATTTCCAAGACTAAATTATTGTTTCTTCATTTATTCATCCATTTGGCAAATTTTTACTTTAGAATTATATGAGTAGGAATCGGAGCAAATGATTATAGGTTCGAAGGTTGATCCTTGATATGCATGAGTGACTTTCAGAAAGAGGAACAGAGAACAATTAAAAATATCATGTAATTAGGAGTGTCTACATCTTTTTCCTTTTTGATTGATCTTGCTATAAGAAGTGACAATACAGGTCTTCTGTTCTGCTTTTGATAACACTTTTCATGTGCTTGTAGTCATACATTATAAAAGAAATTTTATATGGGTTAGGATAAAAAAAATCACCTTTATTATCTTCATTTCTTTTTTTAAGTGCCTCTGTTATTGTTGCAATTACAGTGTAATGGATCTTTATGGACTGAGCTGTATATATCATTGATACCCTCTCATACTTGAGTTAAATTGTCATAGTTGACATTCAATTCCTTTCTGTAGCATCAAATTTTTGGTTTTTTTTAATCATTAATTTAGTTATCATTCTTGTGTTTTTTAAAAAATAAATATTTCTAAAGGATGGATTCAACGAGATTTCCACTTCCAAATGGAAATAATGGAATCACTCATTAAATAATGTGCTAACATATGCTGTTCATGCAGTTTTTTTTTTTTTTTTTTTTTTTTTTAAAAGGTCTTCTGCAGATTATAATTTACTTTCTTTGGTTGGCATCATCTCCGATATCCTTTTCTTTAGGGGTATGTTGGTAACAAATCAGCTGTATTCCCTCTTCAACTACTGGGCTATGATGTGGACCCAATCAATTCGGTGCAGTTTTCAAACCATACAGGCAAGCTGCTTATATCACTTCATTCAAACATTCTGAGGCCAAACATATGGTGCAAGGTCTTCTGTGAAATTTTAATATGTTCGGGCATGAAATCCTGCTCAAACTTTATGTTAGATCATGGTTTAATCAACTTGGGGATATTGCAGGTTACCCAACTTTTAAGGGTCAAGTTTTAAATGGACAACAACTAAAGGAGTTAATAGAAGGCCTCGAAGGCAATGATTTATTATACTACACCCATTTGTTGACAGGTATGTTAGATTGAATTGCTGCATTAAAAGGCTGTGGTCTTTAAAATATTGGTTTTGTCTTACCTTACAGACCAGTAGCTACATCGGTTTATGGATGTGTTACAATAGGCATATAGAAATGGCACTTTGAAAGAGCTCTTGGTTATTTTCTAAAATAGCATTGTTAGAGTCAACGCGCACACACACACACACACACACACTCATGCTTCTTACACCATTGTATCTATCCCTTTCCCCCATTTAATTATTGATCCATTAAATGGAATGTGTTTTCTTGATTTAATATTCACACCTAGACATGTGGCCAATCCCATTGATATGGGATTGAGGCAAGGATGATGACGACAACAACCTAAAGGTATTGACATGCAATATATATTGGACTTGTAATTTTAGTAGAGATTTTATGGTTTCACATTCAATTGCTTAATGCCTTTTTCCTGATTAATTTATTTAGATTTTAAATTTGGAATTTGTAAAAGTATTAATGAGAGTTATCATACAATGAAGGGTGTTATAACTAAAATGTAGGTTCTTCAACTTTTTCTTGAAATGGTTTAGGATATTGCTTGGTTTACCAAAATAGTTCAGTTATAAAACTGGTGTTTTCCCAAACATTTTATACCTTTAAATTGATATCGTTTGTGTTTGAAAAGGAAAAAAAAAAAAAAAAAAAATAGCATTTTGAATTGCTAAAACACTGCTCAGTACCTCAGTGGACGTCAGCTGCCCTTGTTGCCTTGGCTTTAAATTGACTGATTCTTTCTTCAAGATTCAGAGGCTTCTGAACTTGGATTTGACTTGCGGGGTAAACTTTACATGGAATGAATGCAAGACATTTTATTGTTTACAGACCTTAGATCATTCTTCCAAGCTGCATCTATATACATATAAATATTAATTTTCCCCATCAGTTTGAAATGAACCAAGTCTACTTGTCTTTAGAATCTCAATTATTTGCAGTTTTGCCAATTTAGAAACTTTGTTGAATCTGCTTGTTTGATGTTTTTGTTTAATGCATTTCTTTACTTTAATTTGGCATTTTCTCTGCATGTCTACATTTAATGTGGCATTAAGTCTGATTGGTTTATTTGTAGGTTATATTGGTTCCGTTTCCTTTTTGAACACTGTATTAGAAGTCATCAATAAGCTTCGGTCTGTCAATCCCGAACTTACATATGGTGAGTAGATGCTGAATACTGCAAAGGTCTACGCTCTTCATAACTAAAAGTTGTTTGTAATGCCCTCTTTTTTCTTCTTTTGTTAAATCTCCAGCAAGCCTTTTATACCTCTCATGAATAGTTATTATATGATGGAAGTATGGACCTTGGTTTTGTTGCTGAGTCGAGGCCTTAGTAATTTACAATCTATAACATATTAATCAACTTTAAAAAAATAAATAAAAAAATAGTACACTTACATGGAATTTTTATTATTTTAAGGGAGCTTGAATTTATACGATTTCCTATTTATTCTTGAATGCCCAAAATGTGATTGTTGTTGCCAACAACTCAAAATTCTTTTTGTGCCAATAAACACGATCAAAAGTGAAATTGCAAACTAAAATCACTTCTAGCCATTTCAACCGCAATGCTATACATGCTAGGAATAAATTGTGTTGTTTTAATTCTAACAAAAAAATTACTCTTGTATTCTTCCAAATCATTATTGACATTCTCCCTAATGTGCTTATTAATTGCATGATATAGTGGTACTGTCTGGTCCGCTAATTCCATGTTGTGTCCTGTCCTGTACTGCCAATGATGAACAACGTTGATTTATATTTGGAGGTCTCAAATTGATTGCTTAATTGAAATTTATTGTCACCTTGGGTTGGACTAATGGCCACTGAGAACTATATAAAAGTGCTAGCCCAGTGCATGAGGCTCCCGCCATTGCTGGTTCCGGAGAAGATTTATGCAGCTTTACCTCTGTATGCAGAGAGACTATTCCCATTTCGAACCCGTGACCTCCAAGTTACAATGGAGCATCATTGCGCCAAGGCTCACCCTCGACCACTTTGAACTATGTGTTGCCAAAATTACATAAAAGTCCAAATCATAGAAAATGATATGTGTAGGATATACTTGGTGAAAATACAAACACATTAAATTGTTAAATGATTGATTCCTATTAGGTGCAAACAATTTCTTGAAAGAGGAGGGGGGGTTGTGTTTGGTTTGTACCAACTAGGAATTTTTTTTTTTTTTTTTTTTCTTGCCATATATTTGATTCACAAGACAGTGCCTCTAATGGTGAAATCTATTTCATTGTCTGGTTTTCTACCTAATTCAGATATATAGGCTGCTGTGGCTTCTTAAACATATGCTTTTTATTTTATTTTATTTCATTATAATAGGACTTTCTTGTCTTAGTTTGTGATCCAGTGCTGGGTGATGAAGGAAAGCTTTATGTCCCTCCAGAATTAGTATCAGTTTATCGCGAGAAGGTAATTTTTAATTTTCCTACTTTAAATTAGCCTTGTGAATATCATAAAGGCCGTTAACCTATGCTAGTCTTATCAATTCATTGTGCTAAATGAGTAGACTGCACATACACTTAGCCTTTGGTTTTTATTTAGACAAGTTGGCCACCCTGACTCAAACCATGCTTTCATAATTGACATCCCATCTTTTACTGCTGTACCAGTACCGAGCAATGATTCCTAGCAAAGGAATTGTTTCCGTTTTCGGGCATTAGAAAGACTTACAGATTGTAACTCTCCAAATTTTTGTTTATTTGGTCATAGATAAAAAATTAATTGGACGTGCACCAATGTGATATGTACTTCAATGTATTTGGATTTTGTAATTGTTTGACTCGGATAAAAATTTATGCTTACCGATTATTTATACTGCTCTTTTGGAATTTGAGGTGGGTAAAATCTCTACTTCTGAAATAAAAGTCATTACACACTGCTGGTCCTGTACATAAGTTGTGCTGGGGAGGGTCAGAATAGAGAGCAACCTAGTATTTGCTATTATTCTGCACAAAGTGGTTGCTAGCAGACATGAATCCACATCCACTTGCTTGTCAGCCCGAGATTTTACTTTGCACCAAGTGATAGCCTGTCAATCTGTGTCATTAATATTGAATTAAAATTTAATTGCATCTTCCTGAATAGTTGCCTTTTGTTTAATTATTCTTCACAGAAATGTCAGCAATTCATTTTGAATTTGATATTATGGTCATTAACTTTTGTAACCCCTCTTTTTTGTTTAGGTTATCCCTGTTGCTTCAATGTTGACTCCTAACCAGTTTGAAGCAGAACAGTTAACCGGGTTCAGGTAATCACTTCATCCTACTTTTAAGATAGATCAAGATGGTGAAGCTTATCATATTCTGGTAAACTTTATATTTTCTTGTTTGTTTAATTTGTAATCAAATCAGGGCTATGACAAAATTAATGGGTTAACAAACAATAAATCTTGTATATATACAAATAAGAAGCTTGTTGAAACCTCAAAATTTACTTTCCAAAACAAAAAAAAAAAAAAATAGTTCAAAAGTTTTTGCTGTGTTGTAATTAATGATCTCATTACTCTACATTGTATCACGTGGGCATATCCTTTGTGAACGTATCAACTGATACTTCTTGTAGAAATTTATGTAACGTAGTTCTCATGTGTTCATTCTCCTACAGCCGAGTGCCTGCCTGTAATTGAGTTATTTATGCTATGGCCCTATGGGGTATACAATCGCCAAAAAATTCAGATTTTGTCCTGTGATGCTTGATAAAAATAAGCTGCATCTAATTGTTATATATTGTGCTTTTTCATTGCACCAAACATTTGTGCCTTAAGTAGGTTTACTTGTTACAGGATTGGGTCTGAACAAGATGGCCGTGAAGCTTGCAACATTCTTCACACTGCTGGACCATCAAAGGTTTTTGTTAACTACTTGTATCTGAGACCCAACAAGAAAGTTGCCCTTTGAATACTTGATTCTTCTTTGAACATGCAAGATTTTTATTTAGACCTTATTTCCGTCTTTAATCTATTTTTAAGAAAGTCTAACATATTGCTTCTATTTTCATCATTTCTTTTATTTTCTCTTCTTGTCTCTTTTGGTGAAAATGTAATGTTTCTTTCATTATCCTATGTAATAATGTGCCAGAATACTTGTGTTAGAATCACAAATATTATTGCACCTTAGTATTTGGAGCAAACTGATCAATCTAGTTGATTGAAGCCTAAAATATGAACTCATACTTGGTGTATTTTCTATTAGATTCTGTTAGTTTTTTCATTGAAGAAAGCTACAGTACAGCATCTTGGTTAAGTAGATTTCATTTTCCTTAATGGATTGTCAGAATCCACCAAAAAATGAATTTCCATGTCCGGTAGCATCAATATTGGTGGACACTATTTTCTTGGTCTAATTGAAAGCATTATTGCTACCATGCCAGAATACTTGTGTTAGAATCACAATTATTATTGCACCTTAGTATGTGGAGCAAACTGATCAATCTAGTTGATTGAAGCCTAAAATATCAACTCATACTCGGTGTATTTTCTCTTAGATTCTGTTAGTTTTTTCATTGAAGAAAGCTGCAATACAGCATCTTGGTTAAGCAGATTCCCTTTTCCTTAATGGATTGTCATAATCCACCAAAAAATGAATTTCCATGTCCGGTAGCATCAATATTGGTGGACACTATTTTCTTGGTCTAATTGAAAGCATTATTGCTACCATGCCAGAATACTTGTGTTAGAATCACAATTATTATTGCACCTTAGTATGTGGAGCAAACTGATCAATCTAGTTGATTGAAGCCTAAAATATCAACTCATACTCGGTGTATTTTCTCTTAGATTCTGTTAGTTTTTTCATTGAAGAAAGCTACAATACAGCATCTTGGTTAAGCAGATTCCCTTTTCCTTAATGGATTGTCATAATCCACCAAAAAATGAATTTCCATGTCCGGTTGCATCAATATTGTTGGACACTATTTTCTTGGTCTAATTGAAAGCATTATTGCTACCATGAACCATACACACACCCACACAGGTCTAACTGAAAGCATTAGACTTTTAGCGTTATGGCTTGTCCTAGTGCTTTAGTAGCACGTAAAGCTTCTATTTTTTTTCTGATAAGTAGTAGCATGTATTGCTTCTATAAAAGAGAGTAAACATGTAAACTATGGAGCTGTCTAATTGATTAGGTGAGGTCATGCTGTAATAGCTTCCACATTTTGGAAGTTTTGTTCTAATTCACTTGACGAAACCTTATACCCCAAAATGCCAGACATTCTCAAGGGAGTCATCCTGAAAAATCTTTTGATTAGTTGGAAGATGATTTACTGACCTAAAATGGAACGTGTGTAATTTGGTATTTTGGTCCTTAGGAACAAAACCCTAGGAAATTGTTCTAGAGATTTCTCTTTGCCATTCGGTGATTTATGTCAACTGGACTCATCCCTTTATCCATGAGTACCCATGTCGGCTCAGCACAACATAGATGTGGATTTGGGATGTGGGTATATATAAGGTATAAGAGAAGAAGGAAAGGAGGAAAGGAAAGCAAGAAAAGATATGCACCTTTAGCAATTTAAATATTTCCAAGATGTCTTTGTTGCTTGAAAACCATGCCACTTCTACGATTTGATGATTTTAAATAGAGATGATGCCATCTTATTGTAGTAAGCATTAACCAAATTAAATGCGATTATAAATCTGCAACAAGTAAAGATTATAATTATGCAAAACTTTTAAACATTTATTATCATAAATTTTCATAATCAAGTACTAAATGCAATTAATAAAAGTAGTGAAACATAAATTTATGGGTTTTGTCAAATATTTCATGACTTTGAAAATATGGTCCATTAAATGATATAGAACATTCTAATTTACTAGTCATTTGGCTCATTTGATTAGAAAAAAAATGATATGAACGAATCATTTAAAAATAATAGGCACTCCCTTTTTTTTTTTAGCCTGGAACCTATATTAAGAAGTGCGAGTCCAAGGGCTTTATGCCAGCCTGACTGAAGGGGCATGATGTGTACTTAGTTGAGGCGCTCTAGCTGAGCCTTGACGAGCCTGGGGATTTTTTGGAGCTTAGGCGAGCCTTAACAACTAGGAAGTTTCCGTACCCAATTTTGGGACACTTCAACACTTGAGCAGTGTTCTTTATCCTATGTTTTGGAGGTTATAAGGATCGGGCCCTTAGAAGTTAGACAAGCAGCCAAACCGAACATGCACTCAGGCCACATTGTCAGTGATTTAGAGTAAGAAAATGGTTCCACCCCCACCCCTTCTTTCTTTTGTTTATTGGTGATGGATGTATTCTTTATTTGTAGTATGGTTCATGGTGGGTTCTCCTTGACTCTCCTGTTTAAAAAAAAAAAAAATGAGATTTACCATATTTTAATCTTAAGCAAATAAAGCTTGTATCTGCTTGCAATCGCTAATTTAGTCACTTATGTTCCTCACACACAATGGTGAAAACCAGTCTCATCTCATTAAACAAATCTCACTCTCATGTTCATAAAATAATAAACAAAATAGAAGAGCTGCTCGCTCTTATAAAAGAAAAACAAGTAAAAGAAGGAGAGGAGGAGGTATCTCCATGTTGACATAAACAGAAAAGTACACCAGTTGCTGCACTTTAAATGATGATTCTTCATAGCATAGCTTGTGTGGCTACAGACATTTACTCTTAATATTGTCTCTATCTAATGTATTTGCCATTGCCCTGCTTAGTAGATAATTTGCTCATTAGGAGTTGCACTTCTGCAATTTCTTGTCGCCATTTTTTTTCCTTGTGGTAGACAAAATGTTCGCATTCCTTGTCTTATTCTTTTAACAGATGGAGCATGTTTCTTTCTGCGAAACAAAAACTTATTAATTCTATAGAAAAATTCTTTCTCTGTCTCATTGACTATTTTAATATAGAATTTTATGTATGTGAGAGCACCTTTGCTGTGAATTTTATTTAGATTTGTTTATGTAAATTATTTGACAAATAATATTACCTTGTTTAACTATAATGTTCACATCTCTAGTAATTTTTTATTGGTCTTTTGTCACATTTCAGGTTGTTATAACAAGCATAAATTTAGATGGCAATCTTCTACTCATTGGCAGTCATCAAAAGGAAAAGGTGAACAGCTTATTATTTTTTATTTATTTATTTTTTTCACTCATTGGAAAGAGGGAAAAGAAAAAAAAAAAAACCGAAAAGAGATGGATAGATGTATGACCTTACCTTGCAATGAGCAATTGCGTGATCATGAATTTTTTCATGTCTTTTTTATATTTCTTGATTCATTCTATAAGCTTGTGTGAAGCTTGGAGATCTGAAAATATTTTTCATCCTCGATTTCTAATTTATTTCCGTATTGATTTCTAAGTTTATTTTTTGATGTACTCAATCATGATAATCATCAAAAGCTTAGAAATGTACTTCAGTTCTTGTGTTTCTCAAAGAAGAAGAACTGGCTTAGTTAGTAAGGCATTTGGTAGTAAGACCATATGCTTTGTATTCATCACCTATGGAGCTTGAATAATGTTTTCATCTCTTCACCTAGTCACTCTTCCACTTATCATTATAAAGTTACTAAATACTTGCAACTTCAAATGTTATAGGGCCAGTCTCCTGAGCAATTCAAGATTCTGATACCCAAAATTCCTGCTTATTTCACGGTATGCTATTTTCCTTTAAAATTCTATCTTTTGCATAACTACTTATGGCTGTATTGATAATCATAAATATTTTCTGCCCAGCGTCTAATAAGTAAATGCATTTTAGTTTTTCTTAGAACTCCTAGTCTCTGTTTTTATTAAGTCAATTAGTTTGTAAAAGCATTCTTGGCACACCAAGTTCGCATATAGGTGGCATCAGCCTCCCCTAAAATATTCAGGATGTGACTCTCTGCTGTAGTGGTGAATATATTTTATTTAGCATTCTTCTAGGTAGTTTTGCTAAGTTTTTTGGTTACGTCATGGTGTTGCCAATTCCGTTCGACTCGAGTCTAATCCCTCTGGATATAGGCAATCACCTTCAAATCAAGTGCGTCAGAGAGAGGCAAACATGACACATCTCGTTCTTGATTGGTCGCCAGAGACGACTCAGCTACTCATGCGGGTTGATTCTTACTATAGTAATTTTTCTTATGTCAAAGGGATGATTATGCATTCAAAAGAAAGAACAGCTAGAAGTCATTATTTGTTGAATCATTTATTGAGAAAGTCTTAGCAAGAAGAGAGAATAATTTGGCACATATATTCATCTCGGTTGGTAGTATTTCACCCATATGATATGGCATATGCTGGTTTATTGATGATGGCAGAGTGGCACCAAATTAACTTCTAAGCCATCATACTGACTGTAAAGGAAATAGCTGAATAAAATGTTTTGTTATTCTACTAGTGCATGAAAAAAATTGAATGAGTGACTTGGATCTTGGGTGGAAACTATCATTTGGACATGCAAAGAAAAGGAAATTGAAGTATGGACGTCTTGTAAGTGAAGATGAAATGCCTTTTTAAAGTTGTTGCCCTATTTTTCTGGGAACGTAACATACCTGTGTTGACAGAGGGATGCATCCATAAAAGGAATTATTTATAGCTTTAATTGAGATAAATGATACAATGCCTAAACACAGATGCTTCAAATTGAGCCATCAGCTGGACCTTATTCTGACTAGTGGGTGAGTTTTTCCCCTTATACTGTAAACTTGAATAATCCAGGGGTCACTTTAGAACTTGATCCTTGGATCTTATTCTGACTAATGGGCTAGTTTGCTTTTAAAACCTCAAAATTCTTTTAAACCTCTTTTGTACCCTACTGTAAGCCTCCATTTATTCTTCTGCTGAAATCTCTGATCGTCATGTTGCCATAAACAAGAACCTTTTTTCTTGACTGCAGATCACCCCCCTCTTCCATTTTTTGAACCATCACAATTAGGACAGATTGTGTATTTATTTCACTACACAATGGGAAGCTTGCTCTACCACTTGTAGCACATATTGGAGATCCATTAAGTTTTCTATTAATAAGAGAAACAATACAACAGATTGCTCCTTCTTGTTGACCACCCATATAAGTAATTGTTATGATATTGATCCCATGAGGATCATGATCGACATTTTCTGTATTGTAGCCTTATTTTTCCCTACTACAGTCATCTTTATAATTTCATAACTAAGATTTGTAATTGCTTGAATAATTTTACTTTTCATTTAATCTAAAATCATGTTGAATAATAAGCAATTTTTTTTAACATAGATTTAAATTTAATTATGTTGTTGCAACAGTTAATTCTCTATAAGATATCGTACCTGATGTATATGTGTACATGATTGTAGGGAACGGGAGATTTAACTACTGCATTATTACTTGGATGGAGTAATGTAATACCTCTAATTGTTTGCCAGCTTAAGCCTACTTTTGTGTCATTTTTGCCTTTAACCTCTTGGTTCTAATTGTAATTGGTCTTTTTTATTGTCCAGAAATATCCTGCCAATCTTGACAAAGCAGCAGAGCTTGCTGTATCGAGTGTGCAGGTATTTCTCATTCTGTTTTTGGGATTGCTTCTTACTTAATACTCACATGATCTCAATACTTCCCTTGCAAATTCTACATAATGATCACTCGAGTGACATTGCAAAGTTTCTATTACCTTCCCTTGTTAAACCATCTTAATCTTGGATATTGAATGATGTAGTGACATCGATTTTCAATATGAAAATTCAGACCCTCTCTTTGATGATATATTTATGAACACTAACTTATTAGGTGTATTGTTGTCAGATTTTTTGCTATGTATTCCATTTATAAAAATTATACCTGTGAAAAACCTAAGGCCCTCTAGTTTTTGAAAAAGGAAATAAAATTTTGAAGGGGAAAAAACCCATTTTTATGGGCTTATTAAACTAAATTTTGGAAGTCAAAAAGGATTTAGAAGACATCAAGGTGTGGAGGCGCTAAAAAGGTATGCTCCTACTCGGCGGTCTCTCATAGAAGATGAGAGTTGGTCGACATAGAGAAAAAGCTGCTCGACTGGTTTGACTTGAGAGACTCAGTCAGATGTTTCATCCCTCTTCCGTGACAAGTATTGGGTAGCTTCTTTCTTACCAGCGTGTATGGCAGTCTGATAGTGAGAATCTTTCTGTTGAATGGCTGGGATGGTCCTAGGGGGTTAGGATCCCCTCATTGGACCCTCTTTAGGCCTGCTTGAATGGTATGAACGGAGAACATTTTGTGTTCTTTGTTCTATTTGAGACTTGATTGCAGTTGCTCCTGTTGCAGCTCTGCTCTGGTTTCAGGAAGTTATTAGAGGCAATGAGCATAGAGACAGAGGCGGGGCTTGCAGCTGGTGAATGAATAGTTTATTTGGGAGAAAGGATTAGATTTGTGATGGAAATATTGTGCCACATAGGAGTAGGAGCAAGAGTTCTAGGGTTATATATTAGGGGTTGCATGTTTATTTTCTTATTTTAAGATTTCCTTAATTTTATGGTTTATCTCTTCCTATTTTTTAGCTTATTGGATTGCTAGACATCTGCCTCTCTACCGCCTACCCTTCTGGGATCAATCACCCAATACCCGGATCTCCAACCTCCGTCTGTCTCACCACAGAACACATAACTTATTTAGAGCATATTTTAGGTATATTGATAGCCGTCTCATAGCCCTCTATACTCATAGACCACCCTGATATAACACATCTGCCTATAGATATGGTTTGATATGTGATCATTACGTTTTTAATTGATTGAGATTATTGATACAGATTTCTATCCCTAATTTCTTCTTCTTCTTCCCCCTATTCTTCTTCTCTCCTCTCATCTTCTTTCTCCTCTCTTCTCTTCTCTAATTGTTCTTTCTCATCCGTTTCTTCATCAATATGAGGACACATATTTATGTTGTAGTCTTGTAGTGTTTGCAGTAGGAAGGGATCAGTATGAGATGTAATTTCAAGTCAAGGGTTAAATTTAAAAATAGGCATCTGGGAAAAAGCAAAAAAGTTGAGGTGCTTTTTCTGAGAAATGTGAACAAGCAAAAAAGGAAAAAGAGAAAGCAGAGTAGCCAAAACCAAGAGATATTGCAGAATTGTAGAGTCAATGCAAAATTATTTATGGATTTACTCGAGCTAAATAGATTTTCCAGCCAAAATTCTTTCTTCTGGTCAACTTTTAGATTTTGATCATTTTATATTAAACTACTGTCAGTTGTTCTGGAAAAAATCTAGGCAGGCCTTTTATGCGAGAAGGTTCTAGATCTAACCCTTTTTGTGCTTTGATTTGTTTTAAATCAAAAGTATTTTGAGGTCTTTATAAAGGCATCAACAATTATGTTGAGAGAATCAAAGAATTGAAGTAAATGCAGGAATGGTAAACCTCAAATGTGAATTGCCTTAAGCATGAGAGAAGGGAGACTATAATGATGTTGAATATTTTAGCTTGCAATAATTGGTGTTTGGGTGGTGTCGAAGGAGTGAAGGACTATTGCAAATACCGTATCTATGGGTTATAACTCCTAATATTGCTGTATAAACCTAATACTTCCTAATGCCTAACCCAAATAGCTGCAGTATAAGCCCGGTACTTCCTCTTTATCTGTGGACTTAAGTAGGTTAATATGGGTTATAACTAATTTAGTGCTTAAAATGCATATTCCAGGAAAATGATTTTTTTTTTTCCTTTTTTTTTGAGAGGTTACTATTACCACTGTGATTCTTCATGCTTTGTTTTTTCTGCTAGACCGCTAGTTACTCCACGTTTTTCTCTCTCTGGAATTTTCTTCGAGAGGCCTGCATGGAATGTTGCTTGCTGAACAATTGTATGCTTTTGGAGAACAAGCAATACCTGCCATGCCTGATCCAATTAATTTGACCTAAAACACATTTGACTAATGAAACTGTAGTGTACGTTTAGGGTTTGGTTTCATTTTCGTACTGGATCCTGATGTTTTGCTGATTGATGACTCGAATTTTTCCAACATTTGCAGGCACTTCTTATGAGGACGCTGAAGGACTATGAAACCGCCGGATTTGACCCCCAATCGAGCAGCTTGGAGATTCGATTGATTCAAAGCCAGGGTGACATTCGCAATCCACAAGTTAATTACAAGGCTGAGAGATACAACTAATCAGTGTTAACAATAATTATCATTTATTTGATACAATAAACAGTGCCTGTTCTCATAGCATCTCATTTTGCCATGAATATGGTATTTAACTATGTATTAAACTAAAATTTCATTTATGCCATATGTTCTTTTGGCAGTATAGGTCATCACCACAAACAGAAGATATGCATAATATTGAATTATATATGCAGCAAAGTTAGTTACCTGTACTAAGGAATAATAAGGTTTCTTGTTGGGGTCACCAACATACACAAAAATCATATATTTGTCCTCATGGAATTGAAAAGAACAATCCTGGACTTTTTTGACAAACCGCACGCTCACACCTGCTTGCACGAAAACAACAGACAAGAATGCTAATTTGATGTGTGCTTCCGTATGCAGTGTGATAAGATTTGATTTCATTGCAACAACATTTAGAGATGTCAATTTGATCCTGCCCTAAGGGGACGGGTCGGGTGTATTTTAATAATTTTTGGATTTGAAAATGAGAATCAATGTTCGTCTGGTGATATTATATCATTGGCGAGCGTTAATTATATTTTGCTAGATAAGTAAATTTATATTTATTATGTCAGCATTTAATCAATGGATAGTGCCATATAATTAGCATTAAAATTAAAAAAGATGGCAAAACACCATGCTCTGCCCTACCCTGTTTAAAACAATTTTGGGAGATGAGTGAAAACCTGCGCGGTTCCCGTGCCACTCTATTTATATTAAGAATTTACTATTTTATTCTTTATATATATATATATATATATATATGCTCTTTTAATGTTATAAATGTTATTTGGTTAGTTTGGTTTGAAAGAATATTTAATTAATTTGTATTTTTAAATATGATTTTTTAAAAATTTGAGTGAGAAAAATTAAAAAAAATAAAATAAAAAAATTGAATGTGAATTTAAACGGATTTTCGTCACAAAACTCACCGAATGGTTTAGCCGAATTCTGCTAAGCCTTTGATTTCTTGAAACTTGAAAGGTAGCCTTCGGCCGAACTAGTCGATGAGACCTTTAGACTTAAATGTCATTTTCCAATTCATATGTATGCCCACATTTATTTGATAGTTAAACAATTCATTCCGTTTGGTTATGCAAAAATGGCCAGAAGGCTCAATTCCCGCGTTTTCCTACTTCCCACTCTCTTCAGAATCCCTAAAACCCAGATAAAATCGCCAAACTCGCCTCTTAGATTACAAACCCTTTCTGATTCAGTTCTGATAAGTTCAAGAAACCCAATAAATGGCTGGTCTTGCCCAATTTTACAAGGTTTGGTTTCACCCATGACCTTACTTTACTCTTTACATTGTTGGAATCCATTTATTTCATTCTCAGTTAGTTTACATTTCAGATGAACATGAAATTCATATCAAATTAGTTTATATGTACGTCTTGTTTTATGATTTCATTGTTTGTGAACATTTACGGGATGTGATGAACTTGTTCAATATGAAGTGTATTTAATGCAGAGTATGTGTTTGTAAAAGTTCCTCTGAGAAGGCAGTGATTGGTTGCTTGTGTATGTTACTTAGCCTGATTCTGCCTTTTTTTTATTTTTTATTTTTTTGATTTATCAAATTGTGTGTTAATGGGCGTGGTATGCATGCCAAAGGCTTCTTCTTTGTCTTGGAATTTTCTCTGAGATTTAGCTGAATCGCGAAGGTGAAGATCAGTTTAAGCTCTCCCTACATTTGTTATTTGTCCTGCGATTGCAAAGCAAGCAACAACCCAAGTCAGTCTCATCTGCGGTTGAACGCAGCTTCACAGAGAGAGAGAGTTCGAGCTGTGTTTTGGAAGTTTAGGAGGAAAAGTACAGCCTTAAGTGGAAAAAAGTGAAGAAATTTCAGGATAAACAAAGAGAGAGAGATGGTTTGTTGTCCTTGTAAGTTTGGAGGAAAATCCAGGGGTTGTACTTCAAATTTTTAAGAGGTTTCAGAGAAAGCAGTGAAAGAAAATGAAAAATAGAAGAATATAAATTTTAGGAGGGAAACCACAAGGGAACTCATATGGACGTTTTTTTTTTTTTTTTTAAAAGATTTAAATAAGTGAATTCATTAAAAAAAAAAAAAAAAAAATTTCTCAGAGTATTGCATCTTCTGAACAATATAAGTATAAAATTTAGATTTTCAATATTGGATTCTTTGAGCTTATTGTCTACATATTGATTGCTTTCAAGTTTCAAGTGTGAGGATGCATATATTATCTATACCTGCAGTGACTTCTCATAAACCTATGTCTTTGTCTGTCTTCTAGTTGAAGGATTTCTCATAGTCATTGGTATTGAGTCTATTGACTGAGCAAAAACAGGTGACATATGTAACTATAAAACTCAAATTTTTTCTCACGTAAGTGTTCGACTCCGTAGGATTGGCTTTTAGAGGTTACTTTTAAAAGTGTCACCAATTTACCCACACATGATAAATCCCCTCATGACTGCTGAATTTCCTGGAAAACTTCTTTCTCATCCTGGTTGTTCTTTATTCAATATCTCACGGTTATACCCTGGATAGAGGATAGGTTGAAACTTAAAAGAGTTCATGATAATTGATTTTTCACTGACTCAGGTTGACAGGAGTCATATGCTAATGCATCTGATTCTAAATGTTTTGGAACAACAAGTATAGACTCCTAGAGAAGCACTCAGAATCATTATGTTCACAAAGAATAGAATTTGTTTCTGATTCACTCATTGGTCTTTCCTTTGAAATTTTCCGTGTTGTATGATTAACATGTTTTCTGTCGCTGAGGCCCCGATTAAAATTTGAATGTTTGATTGCAGATAAGACAGATTTAGAAATGAGACCATGGAACCAAATATGTGTTGAGGTTGGAGTGGCTTCAACAATATTCTAAGATTCATTTATTTTTTCACAGCTTTCCCTGCAATATAGTTGCGCCTTTATAGTGTCATTTTTTAATTCTTAGACACAAACCTAAAATACTGTCAACTTATACAAAAAAGTAAAGTAAGAAGACTTCATGTGATCAACATTGAGTTTGCAAGTTGTATTATTAAAGTAACTCATACAAGCGCTCTACCATCCGAGCCAGACATGGTGAGGTAACTAATATCTACGGAATCAACTTTAATTTTTCTATTCAACTAAACTATACACATGATATATAGGGACATAATTTAGTTGTTTATGAGCTACAACTTGTATGGAAGAAAATTTATAAAATTTCCTCTTCTGTGTAGTGTTTGCAACAAAAGCCTAGTTTTGGTGAAAGTGTGTCCGCTATTTATTATGTGCTTCCTGTGGGCTAAAAGGTTCTGAATTATTTAAAATATGTTGCAGTATCACGATCATATGCTCGTGATGGACGTTCGTACTATGATCTCTTTGGCAGTGGAAAACCAGGAGATGAGGAATTCAGGAAGGCCTGGGAGAAGGAGACAGATGAAGAGAGTTGTCTCTGGACTGGAAGTGAAGATGACAGTGATACCGAAAAAGGACGAAGTCATCTTGAAGAAGAGATCAAGAAAGTAAAGCAGAAGGCAAAGGAGCACTCGGACCTCATTGATGGTGATGACAGTGATGAGTTGAGAAGTGTATGGTCTGAAAGTGATGAGGAGAAGACTCTGTGGACTGGTAGTGAAGGTGATGACGATGACGATATTCCTACTGACCCTTACCCAAATGAAAAAAGTGATGCACACATTGACAAATTGTTTGAGTTTGATGAAAAACCTAAATATCGAACAATCTCTGAACTCCTGAAAGCTGAGAACGAACCAGAAGAGTTGTCCCCAGGAAAGCAAGCTAGAAAACTTGCAGTTGAGAATGCTCTGAAAAAATTGAAAAAAGGGCCAGATGGGCGATACACCAATGTGTGGGAGGTCGCAAGTGATTTGGACATCTTGATTGGAGCATTTGAAAATGTTGTTTCAGGGCCAGAATATGCAGAACTTAGACAGGGAGGCCCTAAGAAATTAAATATTCAGTTTTTCAAGGATATACAAGCTCGAATGAGAGATCCGAACTATAAGTTCTCGCCTGAGTTAAAGTTAAAACCAAAGAGCAAGCTGGTCCCAAGAAAGAAATGGCAGAAGACACAATCCAGAAGAAGGAAAGCACAGAAGCGCTAGGTCATACTTTTTCCTTTTCCTCCCTTTGGTTTTATTTATTCAAATCAAACATGTATATTTGTTATCTTTTGGAATCATATTTCAAATGTTCATCCATATATACTGTATTACAATTTTGTTTTCTTTTATAAAATTAGCATGAATTGGTATAATTAACTGACTGTCCATGAATAGTAGATAATTTCTTCATTGCCTTGATAAATTTATTAACTCCCAAACTATGATGGCTTTGGTTCTAAGTTTTTTTCTGCATGGCTAACTTTGCTGGAAATTATGACAGACTGTATAAAATTCCTTTGGTGCAAGTAGAATTAATTTGCTCTCTCTTTTTTAATAATTCCTTCAACATTTGGATTATGGATTTTAAATTTTGATTCTTTTATGGGACTAGTAATTTGAGTCAGCCTAATAGTCAATTATGTAATAATTATTAATTGTAGGTAACAGAACCTCTAAGTTAATGATTGTCTAAGCGTCTCAGTTATGATTAGCAAAAATCCCTTTTAACTTCATACATAAAAAAGAATAATAATAACTATAAGATGCAACTTTTTATTTTTTTTATTTTTTATGAGTTGTGCTAGAAAAGGTGTGATCCACAGGATTCAAAGAATATGCTCATCTTCAATTACAATTAGTTTGTGTTTTAGTGAACTAGAATGCCTCTCTACTGTGAGGTCTGTTCGACTGCTTAGGAATCTGCTCTCCAGTCATGGAGAGGAAGAAATTAATGATCTCATAACTGTTGCAGCTCTGATATCATGTGAAAGTTCAGAGAGAAGCAAGAAATTTGGACTTTGAAGATGTTACATAAGCAACCTAAATTTGTTTGAACCACGGGACAGTTGCCCCGTATAACCAAAAGAGGTGAGGGTTCGAGTCCCGTAGTGTTGGGGAAGGTAAAAACCTTAATGGGCATGAAAAATAATTTAAACACAAATGACAGAACCAGCTTCAACATGAAATTCATATTACAAAAACCTTGTATAATCAGATTGGACCTAATCCTACCCAAAGTAGTAAGGAATCCAATATAGTATTATACTAATAATAGTAGGTGTTGTAAGGAAATCTGAAAGGTATATGATTCATCATCTGAGGTTGATGCATGTATATGTTGTCACGCATCATCATGTTGCCATTGATACTCATGTCCTGCAGGTCAGTGTTCTTCCCCATCATCTGAGATGGATGGTGATAATTGTATCCCTGCATGTTGTTCACCATCATGTATGATGATGGATGATAATATCCAAAACTTGGCAACCCTCCATAGGGACTTTGTAGCCCACCATAACCATTGCCTTGAAAACGTTGAAAACCAGCACAGTTGTCTTGAAAGCCTTCAAATCCCATCATGGAGTTCATGTTATCTTGAATATAGTCATCGCCAACAATTGTATATCCATCAGTGTTCTGATCAGTCTCACTTGTCATAGCCTCCTTTCCTAGATGCTGGTTCTGATATCTCTCATAGCCATAGCCCAACTCGTCTTCAACCTCTCCACCACTTGTAGGCCACATCATAGGGTGGCTTTCGGAGGCTTTTAGGCCTCTGATTGGACACTGCATCTGGTTCTGGACCCTATCTCCTTTGCTGTAATGTTCTTGGTTTTGGTTAGTCCAAAGCTCTGCATGCTTACCAGACCTGCCCAACTTCATGATTAAAGTAGCAGAATCTACAGTCCCTGTAACAGTGACCTTTTGTTGCTCTGCATCCACATCTACTATATAAACTCCTGAATTATATGAAAAAAAGAAAAAAAAAAAAAGATTTAGGTTTCACTCTGAAGTGATGGTGGGAAGTGAGCTCATGGTAAGAGTAACTCATATAGTAAAATAGAAATCAAAAAACAATATCAAGAACAATGGGCTTTTATTTATTGTTTTTATTATTTATTTGGAAATAAAGAATTTGAGAAACTAAACTATTAACCACTATATCCTCTTCATTCCTGCTATTTGTATTGGGCATTTGAAAATTTTTACAAAGGAAAATCTAATGATCTAGTCTCGTTTGAGCTCGTACCCTCATTTATTTAATCTTCTTTATGAGTCTCTCTAAATCTTGACCTAAAACTTGGTAGCTTGGATAGCAGCAAGATTGTAAATTTGGAACCCAGAAAGGGGTATGATATTAGATTGTTTAGTATTTTCCCCCAATGAAAAAGCAAGATTACAGCCCCAAAACAATATCAAAAGCTAAAATTTGTGAAGAGAACGACCTCAGATGAATGTTTTTCATATATATATATATATTTTATAAAAAAAAACCAAAATATATACTAATTAAAAAGAAAAGCAAAAAACAGAAAATGGAAAGGGAAGATCAGGGTTTTTGCAAGGTGGTACCTTCAATTCTCTTCAGTAGTTTCTTCACTTTCTGCCTACACCCATGACAATGTATCTGCACTTTGAGAACACAAGTCTGCCAAAAAAATGTATCAAACAAACAAACAAGAGTAATCAAAAGCAAATTTAACCTATCAAGTTGGGGGAAAAAAAAGGAATAAAAGAAAATGAAGTAAAATCAGTTTCTAGAGAAAGTGACAGAAAGTTGGTAGCAGTTAGAGAGTTGAGACCTCTATGTTTAGGAGGTTGAAATCATTTATGGACATTTTTCAACAGTGCTTGTGGATGTAAGATGTTGGTTGGGAAGAAAAACAAAGATGCCCAACAGATTCTTCTTCTTTCTGAGCTTCTTCACAGTGGTCTCATTGTTGGTTTTAAAAGCCAAGTTACAGCTTATTAGGGTACTGTTCGAACTGAATGGTATTGGGGACAGAATGCATTCATACACCAGTACTATACAATGCAAACGAACACTGTGTGTGTGTGTGAGAGAGAGAGAGAGAGAGAGGTAGGTCTAAAAGTTATGATTTGTCTAGGCACGGAGGCTTGACTAGCTAGGCACAGTGCATACTACATGTGCTAGTACATCTTGTCATGCAGTGGATCATTTTCTCGTGATGGGTCTGAAATGGTCATTCACTGTGGTTACACAAATCGGGAAACTTTGTTGTGATTTTAAATCTACAATATGTTGCATTTTCAAAGGTAAAAGTTATTCATGGTGTTAAATCTCTGTATAATTGGTTAAAAAAAAAAAAAAAAAAAAATCTCTATATAATTTGTTACATTGTATCTGGTAAGTGTGACGGATGAGTATTGTATTCTGGATATAAATAGTGTTGTGTTGACAATTTATATGCATAACAAATTATAGTACAAAATTTTGTAATGGAAAGGATTGGGTTCATGGTTTGACTCATGGAAAGGATTGTTAGCCGTTTGGCTCGTTTTGGAACGTTGTTTTAGTTAAACAATCACTACTACCAATATAACATAATCTGAATTTGAAGGATGATGAATAGAAATAAGTGAGTGGAGTGAAGTGCGGGTTCCATCACATAAAATCGCAGGTGATGGGATTTGGACTCCCAATCACATCACACTTGATTGGTATTTTTCAAATTTGAAAGATATATCATTTTTCTTATTACAATTATTATCAAACTTTTTATTGAAAAGTAATGGGAAGGTTTATTGCTAAAATCACTTATTAATTCTTCTATTCATTAGCTCGACCTAAAATATACGAGTTAGTCCAATACACACGATTTCTGTCATTGCAAGATTTTTGTGAAGGATTTGATGCAAACAATCTTCCCTCCCATTTGCACAGAGGTTATTTTCTGTTTTGAACTCATCACACACACACACATACACATACATATAAACTGTGGTTCCGACTTACAACATTGGCTTATGTTTGTATGATTTACTTGTCTCAACGGGGGTTATATTTTCTATATTTTAAAGAAAAATAATATATATGTTATTAAATAATGTGTGATTCATGAGCCGGGCTGATTGGGCCTTAAGACATTGATCCTGACCTCACCCCAAAAATGATTATTAGCCCATAAAAAAATAGCCGAGGCATGGCCTATGTGCCCAAAACCATAATCCAAATCCTATAATGGCCGAGGCCGGCCCAGGTGAGCCAGCAGACCAATGACCATCCGGCCCATCTTGACCATGGCCTCTTTTAATTTTTTTTTTTTTTGAATGGTAAACTTGCTGCCCAAGTTTTCTTGCAAAATATCCATTATTAATTAATATATGGATTACCAACTATGCAAGTATTTAAATGATCACAGTTTGCAATATCATTATATATGTAAACAAATCTTTGATTTGTTGAATAAGAAAATGTAGATAAATAATAATATGTGGAATATATTAGAAAATTAAGTTATGCTTTGGTTACACCTAGGTGCCGGCCATGGCATATCCTAATGGGCCTCTAGGTTTAATAATTGAAGTTTGGTGGAAGAGATTCAATACAAGTAGGTGAAAATTTCAAATGTTAAGGTTGTTTGGTTTCAACCTAAAATATATTTTTTTTCAGGTAAAATATTTTTTTATTTTTATTTTATCAGTGTTTGGTAAGGGTCTACGTCGAGGTTGAGGTTGAGGTTGAGTTCATTGGGTGAGACATGTAAAATAATTTGTCGAAAATTGATAGATAAGTTATTTTTGTTAAATTTTAATATTTTTTTCTTTGTAAATATTTTACGACAACCAAACACCAGAAAATAAAAAAATATTTTTTGAAAAATATTTTACGCCCAAACAAATGGAGCCTAAATGTAGAAAATGTGAATTACTCCACTTCTTAAGCTCATATGTTATACTAAATTGCATTAAACATGGTCCAAGTGAATTGTTCGAGATGATGATATTTTCTGAATATTTAACATGGGTTAAATTTGATTTTCTCCTTCTTTTTAATGTCGATCTTATCACTATTCTTTATTATATATAAGTGAGAAATCTTTACTGACCAAAAGGGACACGGCCCATAAAGGGAAGAAAGGTGCAAGCGCAACCAAAAGAAATACAGAGAAGCCCAAGGACCAATGGCCCAAACCCAACCCAACTAGTAGGGCTTTTTTTTGGTATAATAATAATAAATAAAAAAATGATAACATTAGGTAGGGATGAAAAGAAAAGAAAGGAAAAGAGAGAATATTGTTAATCACTTATCATGTTTGGTTGATTTATAAAGGAAAAAAATCACTTTTGGGAAAATAAAGGAAATGAACTATTTTAATGAATTTACTATCATAAGTTTTTTTTTGTAGATTTTGTTCCTTTATAAAAATAAGAGCAAAATTAATATTAACAAAATTTTATTAAAAATGCTAGCATTTTATTGTCTTTTTTTTTCTTTCTATTTCCTCCCATTTCTGAAAGGATAACAAAATCAATACATGATGCCTAAATTTTGTCATTCGGGATCCATCATCTCCCTTTAAAAATCTATACTAAACATAGTATTTCATTTCTCTCCATTACCAGTCTTTTGTTTTACTTTCATTACCCTTCAACCAAACTGAGCCTTAAGTTGCAAAATGGCCTCTTTCAGCATAAAGCTGAAATCATTACTAGAAAAAATGAAACACATTCGTGGATACGGGCACGTGTCCCTATTATATTTGTATAGGCATGACTAGAAAAGGAAGGTTTATATATATAATGTTTTATACAATGTATTAAAAGGATGCAACATGAATTTATCGGGATAACAAAAGTTTAATGGTGTTTTCTCACCTTTCAAAATAAGAGAAATTCTATAATATTTGGTGGGTATTTGGACACTTGGTACCTTGGCCTCCCGATCAAAGTTTCTAAGTTATATTAAAACTCTCCACTTCTCCATTTATTAAATAAAACAGAGACCTAAGTTTCAATTGGGAGGGTTCCAAATATCAAAATATTTTTCGAGTATTGTAGATTTTCTTCCAAAGAAAAACGTGAAATTCAAGTCCATACGTTTAGTGTTTAAGTCCCAACACGACATGTGGGTGAAAAAAAAACAAACCAAAAAACAAATCAAAAAATAATAAAAAAACACAAAACATGAATCTGGGATATTTCCCTCAGCCGCATTGGGGGCTTCAAATCTCTGCCCATGCACATACGGGTCAGGTGAAACACTGCGAGCATTGTGTGGCACTTTTTTAGATCTCTTTCCAGTACGCTCTACTTTCTTCAAGACCTTGTTTGGATCAACATAGCCACTAACTGTTACCCAGCTTTGCTTTTGGTTAACCTCCACAGATTTCACACCTAAAAGCCAATGACACAGAGATTATATATATATATATATGAGATGGGCTTTATATGTTTTCTTATCTATGTGATGGAGTTCGACCCTCATTGTAAGCATTTTTTAATGTATGTAAGTATTAATCGGAAAATAAATAAATAAAATTGGTGTTTTGGATATATATATATATATATATATATATATATATATATATATATATATTCAACTATCATGATTGCTAACTAGGAAAAAGAAAACTATAATGATTGCTTCCTTATATGTTAGAGAACAATGCCACCAGAATGATGGAAAAGAGCTTGAGAGAGAGCATGTATATGAACCTTTCATGGACTTGCCAGAATTCTTCACTTCCCTTTCGCATCCATCAGAGTCCATTTTGACTTTAATTTCAACTGTCTGCAGAGGCAGAAAACACAACTCAAACCATCTGTTTGAGAGAGAATTACAAAGCAAACTGAAGAAAGCAAAAACATGTGTGTGAGTGTGTGTGAGAGAGAGAGTTGTTCATTATACGCACATCAAATTGAAGATGGTTGGCTGGAGGTATGTTCGAATCAAAAACCCATCCACCATTCCTATATCTCAACAACTTTTCATCCGATTTCACCAGAATCTTTTCATCCGATTTCGCATTTATTTCATTCACTTTTGCCATAATCATTTCATTCACTCTCGCCAGAATCTTTTCATCCGATTCATTCATTTTCACCAGAATCTTTTCAACCGATTTCACAACTATTTCATTCACTTTCACCAGAATATTTTCATCCAAAAATATTTCATTCACTTTCACCATGATCTTTTCGTCCAATTGCGCATCTATTTCATTCATCTTTTCATCCCATTTCGCATCTATCTCGTTCATCTTTTCGTCCAATTTCTCTATTTCATACACTTTGACCAGAATGTTTTCGTACAATTTCTCTAGTTCATTCACTTTCACCAGAATCTTCTTGTTATCTCTTGTCTGCAGAGCTTGCACATAGATCTGAAAGAATCTCTCAAGCGAAGCTACAAATTTGATGAGTTTCTTTGAGTAGATAGCCCTCATCACGCACTTCAATCCAGTAATTTTTGAGCACTTGCGGACCAGCTCCGCCGTCTTTTTCAAGAGATCGGTGAACATTTTGGTTTCTTCCTCAAGAACGTCCAATTCTCCGTCAAACTTCTCAATATCACGTATGATTGGTTTGAGTGCATTCAGAATTGATACAAGCCTTTCGAGTTCGGACTTGAAGTTGATGGTCTTGTTTTGGACATCCACAAGAAGTTTCAGTACTAGACCAAACAGTGCTCCCAAAGCAGCCCCTTCAAACAACCCCCCCATCCAGATGTTTTTAAGAAGAACAAAAAAAACCCTAATTCACTGAAAATCAAGATGATCGAATTGGGTATTCTCTCAGTAAATCAAGAACTTCAGAAGGAATGTTTTGGACTTCTCACAAGCTTTTCTGATTTTTTCTGCAATTCAGGAAAATACAATTCATGAGAAAATGTCCAAGGAAATTTCTCCTAGTTGAGCTAGTTGACCAAATAATCCATAGAAAACCTTATAGTTCATGGCATTTGATAGCATTTAAGAAGTCTAAGAATGAAAATTTTTACAAAAAAAAAATAAAAAAAATGACATGAACAACTAGCATATATAGAATCAAATTCCTATTAAGTAGCTACAAATAATTGGGAAGGCAGATGATCTACCTAGCTTGAGTACTGGTCGAGGAGATTCCAAAAGCCAGCAGATCCAGAGTTGCCAGGAACACGCTATACGCGGTCAATGCATATATATATATATATATGAGGAACTTGCTGGGATGGCACTTCAGTTGCTGAGCAGTTGACTACAGTAAAGACTTATTTTATTTTATTTAATCCTAGCAACGATAATTAGTAGCTAGGGGGTGAGTTTTTAATCATAGGAAATGATTAGTAGTCAGGGGGTGAGGGAAGCAGGTCACTAACTCTTTACCACCCACCGTCACACCTTACGAAAATGACTAAAATAGATGTTTCAGATGACTTTTTGATAGTTGAAACAGATAATTCGGACTTAAACTGGTGTAGAATTCTGAAAATTAGGAGTTTACGTGCTATTTTAGAAAAAGTTGTAAGTATGCTTAAAGAACTTTTAAACCAATACAATGAAAAAAGAAATTATTGCTATAAAAAATGGGCGCGAATTCTCTTAAGTGAATTCCTACGCGGTCTCTTGCAGTGAGCTCCTAAGTGGTCTATATTTGATTACGTCCTTCTTCATTTAACAGTTCTTGAGATCCCGTTTGACAATTACAAAAAAGTGAAATGTCTCGCGAATAAAGTAGTAAACTCTTTTTGACTATAATTTATAAGTAACATGATAGGAGTTTAAAAAGTAACATCGCCACTTAAAAATTGAAGGTTGTTGATAGTCAAATACTTCATAATCCCCTTCAAAATCCTCTTTAAATTAACATGTGACTATTTTTTTTAATGTTCTATTTTTTATGATAAAATTTAACTTAAAAAATATATAAATGATATGTTGAATTTAGTTAGATTTATGTGTGATTATTAGTTTTTTAGTACTACGTGAATACTTTTTTTGATGGTGAAGGTGGTGAATGTGACAATTAATATTAAACTTTATTAAAAAAATTTCAAAGATATGTTAAATAATTTATACCTAAGTGTATGATTTATTTAATTATTTATTTATTTTTTAATTAGCACCAGGAACTCCCCTAGGCAGGATCCCTTCGGGACCCACCTTAAGCTACAAACCTGGGGGTGTAGAGCCTCACCCCAAGGATACACTGGATTAGTCGAAAGACATGGATGGCTTGGGAGAAGTCGAACACTGGCCTAGTGTGTGCAAGTGCCAAGCTCCTACCATCACAGCCAAGCCCCGGGGGCTACCTAAGTGTATGTTGTTGTTGTTGTTGTTGTTTTTTTTATTTTTTATTTTTTATTTTTATTTTATTTTTATTTTTTATAAGATACGGCTGTTTTCATTATTTTTGGAAATATCAAGTGTTTTGTTTGTTTGTTTAAAGTTAATCCAAGTGACTTTAATTTTGGTTTAAATTAACATGTTATAGTGTTTTTAAAATACTTTAATTTCAAATAATAATATAAATGATATGTTGAACGGAGTTACGTTTATATGTAAAATTACTTAATCTGCATTATATGGGTACCTTATTTTGAGGGTGAAGATGATTTTTCACTTTTTTGTAATTGTTGTATCCAAATGTTGTCCTAGTGTCTGTTAAATGAAGAAGGACGTGACCAAATATAGAGCACTTAACACTCACTTTAGGGGACTGCATGGGAAGCTCACTTTAGAGGATTCGCGCCGATAAAAAATAGCTTGTTTAATTTTAAAATCTTTATAAGACCTCAACGATTTCTAATTAAAACTGATTATAAGTATTTCACAACTTTCATGAAGTCTAATTTTGACAGGTGCATGAGTAAAGGAAGATTACTAGATGGAGACAATGGTTTGCTAACTTTTGATTTGATGTTGAACATATTGTAGGAGCAACCAATAATCTACCCCGACGCCCTTAACACGCGAGATGGCTTGTACACTCCGTGACAATTCTATCCGAAACAAAAATAGTGATAGCCAAATAAATTAATGATCCATAAGGATAAAAATAGTGCACGGGTACCGTTGTAGTTTACGGACTTAAAAACCCGCAAGGGAAAGTTCAAGGACCATAAATTTAACAATGAAACTTCAGTTTCAAATCTTCCGAAAAGAGATGGTCCTTTGAAAAAGACTTTGGTTGACAAGTTTAAGGGCAAACACTAGCCGTAAACGGCATGGGCCAAAAATGGTAAAAACGACAAAAACGGCATGGGTTGGGCACGACCCAAAAACTATGGTCCTTTAAAAACTATGATCGTAAACATCAGCTGTTTTTGGCATGGGTCGCTGGAGACTATGGTCTGGGTCGCTAGATGTCATTTCAAATACGGCATAGGCCAAGAAATTTCTTGGCGTCGTCCGTGGGAACAATGAAGATTGATTCGATCACAACTGATTCATGAAGGAGAAGTTTGATCTCTAGAAGGTGAATTCAGATCAGCAAGATCGTGGTCTGTCTTGTAGAGTGTTTGTTCTAATTGATCTTTGGAAATTGGAATCGGATCTAAAGAATCTTGATCTGTTTACCGAGATTAGATCTGAAGAGTTCACGACAAGAATAGAATCAATAGATTATGGATCAGATCCGGTGGAAAGAGATCGAAATTTAGCTGGTTTGAGGCCAGATCTAGTGAGTTTGCATTAGTAGAGGTCAGATTCGATCAGGAATTCACGGTTGATAACTCTGCTCCGATCAGGAACGATGATTGGAGGTGAGAGTTCTAATCCACAAGAAAATGGCCAGCAAATGAAGCACGATGAGTTGATGAGCATGATCTAAGCCCTGCGAAGGGAGAATGCAGAATTGCGCGCTGGAATAGAGTGTTGAGAGGTTCCGGCGATTCCACAACCAATTCTAGTAGGAAATCGAGGTATGCAACCTGATGTTGCTCACCAAGGCGAGCAGGAGGGCTCCAAATTGTAGGAGCCGTCTCCCCCTTCTTAGAGCCAGCTCCAAGGGGTTAGGGAGCCGGCTCTAGGTAGAATAGAGCCTGCTCTTTTATTTTAGAGCAGGCTCCCTTGGTCAAGACACGTTTGGATGCATTTTAGAGCTGTTTGGGCACTGTTTGGGCTAAGTTTGAAATTCTAAATGGTTTTAGGGACTGGAATGAGAATTCTAAAAGTATTTTCAAGGGTTTTTAATTCCTCTAATTGTATATTTTGGTTCATAGGGCAAATGGAATAAACAGTGTAAAAATAAGTGACTTTGTACGCTGCTAACGGATAGGAAGGACTAGTGCGCTAAGTTTTGTTTTAAAAATTTAACGGACTATTACATGGAATCTAAATATGATATTATGCTATATTAGAACTCATCATGAATAATTTATCCTAATATGCTAAGGGTTTTCACAGTGTGGGAGTTTTAAGTAATGACACACATTATTGGCGATTGTAAAGTATCTAGTTGTGTAAATTTAATTTAGCAACTTCGATGACTGGAGGATGGTTCTAAAATCTATGTTAGATACAGAATAGGGTCATGTATTTATTAGACCTTATTTGTGCATAGGTTGGATTTTAATTAAGGAACTAATAAATTAGGTTCCATTAATTAAATGGAGATTGTTATTTTAATGGTTAAACTATTCTTTATGTTTCAGCAACTATTGGTTAGTACTGTGGATTTTTTTGAGTTATAGTTTGGCATTCTCAGCTTTATAATTGACTCTTACTATTGTTAATATTGTCAACTGCTGGACTGTACTATGGGTTAGTTGAAATTTAATTAAATGAATTAAATTGTCAATAACATCGATGGATACTGGATCTTAACTTGATGAATTATTAAACTTTGTCTCGTTAATTACATGGATGGATTCTGGATTGCAAGTTGATGAACTGTTTAAACTCTGTATATCAACTATTTGGATTACGTGGGTATGATTTGATGAACTGTTGAAAATGTTGCATCATTCAAGGATCATTTGCATTATATGACCGGTATGGGACGGTGACATATCAGGGATGGATTAGATCAAAAAGCTAAGTCCTACCCCTTCATACATAAGGAATGGATTAACTAAAACAGTTAAATCCTACATGGATGCATGTCCTGTCAACTAAAACAGTTGAATGACATAATGGATATTTGTTTTATCTTTCTGCACTAGGAAGGAATTTATATATATATTTATGGTACCGTGATACGAGCTTGAGTCTCCTGATCACGGTTATGGTGCGTATATCGCAAAGGTTGAGTAGCTGGATATAGCTAATGTTCCTTGGTAGGTCTAGGTACTTGGCCGCTAGAAAGCGTGTTTTATATGTCACCTTCTACCCAGGCTGAACTATGTTATAGGCTAGTGAGCATTCTATAGTGTGTATTTATATATCTATGGACTATTGTAGATATTGCCAAGTTATCTAGGATGTATCTGCGTATCGGGTTTATGTACGGATTGTAGTAGATTGGAACTTGCATGTGGGTCTGACCCACTTCTATTTTTCAGGTATTCGCCAGTTCCAGCTTAGAGTTTGATCTTGTTGATGCAGATACAGACACTCACTCTACCGGTTACATAGGATTTCCTTCCTATTATGGTTTTGGATTTTAATTCTGTAGATTTATCTAAAGATTTGTATTTAGGGGTCCACCAGGTGGATTCCTGAGTTGTACGGATTTAAATTATATTAAATCATTATTTAAGGTTTGAGGATTTTCATATTAGTATTCTTTCTGTTTATTATTATTTAAATCTTACTTCAGTTTTATTCCTGCTTGTTTACATATTGATTGTTTGGTATCCCTCGGATCTGTGCTCGGACTTGATCACCCGTGGCTCTAGAAACGAGGGGTATCACAAAAGATGTCTCAAGCCT